TGTGGATAAACAGTATTTCTTGCTGTTTCTTTGTCAGTGTTGATGTGGAGATTGTCTGCTTTGCCTTCTCTGAAACATGCCACATAGGATTGCCCTTCTTTAGGGGTCCCTTTCCAATCTATGATACTATATATCTCTATGTGAGAATCATATCTATCTATCTATCTATATCTATGGCTGGATGTCTCTTTGTCAGGAAGGCTTTGATTACGTTTTCTTGCCTTTGTGAAGGGAGTTGGACTAGATGGCCTTAAGTATGGGGGTTCTGTGTGGGAAGTTTGCCCCAATGCTGTTGTTCATAGGGTTCAGAATGCTCTTTCATTCTAGGTGAACTATAAATCCCAGTAACTACAACTCCCAAATGTGAAGGTCTACTTCCCCCAAACTCCATCTGTCTTCACATTTGGGAATATGGAGTATTTGTGCCAAGTTTGGTCCAGATCCATCCTTGTTTGAGTCCACAGTGCTCTCTGGATGTAGGTGAACTACAACTCCCATACTCAAGGTCAATGCCCACCAAACACTTCTAGTGTTTTCTGTTTGTCATGGAAGTCCTGTATGCCACGTTTGGTTCAATTCCATCATTGGTGGAGTTCAGAATGGTGAAGTTTGGGGAAAATAGACCTTTACATTTGGGAGTTACAGTTGCTTGGACCTGCCATCAAAGAGCATTCTGAACACCAACAATTAAACTGAACCAAACTCGGTATGAAGAACTCCCTTGACCCACAGAAATTACTGGAGAGCTTTGGGGAAAATAGACCCTGACATTTGGGAGGTGGAAGTGGCTTGGATTTATAGTTTACCTGCCATCAAAGAGCATTCTGAACACCACCAACCATGGAACTGAACCAGATTTAGCACGCAGAACTCCCATGACCAATGGAAAACACTGGAAGGGTTTGGGAGAAAGTAACAGTGATTGGAGGTTCCCAAATGGAGAGGAGGAGGAAGAAAAGCCCAGAGGAGAATGAGGAGGAAGGCAGGAGTTCAAATTTGGTCGTATTGAGTATTTTTGCCATGTGTGGTCCAGATCCATTGTTTGGGTTCACGGTGCTCTCCAGATGTAGGTGAACTACATCTCCCCCAAATCACTGTCCATTCATCCCAGCCCCCTCCAGTATTTCCTGTCGGTCACGGGGGTTCTCTCTGCCACGTTTGGTCCAGGTCTGCAATTTGTGGGGTTCTCAGCAGTCTGTGGCAGTCAGAGCTGAATTGGGTGAAGGAACTGCAAATCCCTTCATCCGTTGTCCATACTCCCGAAACACATTGTTGTTGTGATTAATCGCTATGCTTTAATTATGTTCAGTTTGTAACAATAAAAATCCATCCTGCATATCAGATATTTACGTTACAATTCGTAACAGTAGCAGTTATGAACTAGCAACGAAAATATGGTTGGGGGTCTCCACAACATGAGGAAGTGTATTTAGGGGTCACGGCATGAGAAAGGTGGAGAACCACTGATCTGGGTGAAGGGATATCATTTCCGAGGAGGTCCAGTTCAGCAGCTAGAGAATGGATTGCGCTTTTTTTTAAAATTTATTTTTTTATTTCACAACATTAAAAAAGACAAAATAAGACAACAACAGACACGAGACATGAACAACAACGTGCAAATACAACAAGATACAAATAGACAAATACATTAAAAAAAACCCAGCCAACCCGAATTGGCCGAACCTCCTCCCCCCCATTCTAGTGGATTTTCTCTTCGTTCTTTATTTACATTTTTCTTTTATTTATCGTTATAAGTTTTTATAGGTATTTTCCGTACTGATGTGTTTTTTATCTTTATGCCCCTTTATACAGCTTCAGGAATTTCTGTCTCATGGATACCCTTTACATATCGCTGGCAGGTTCTATTCACTATGTTCCTTTTCGCCTGTTAGCTTTTCCCCTTCTCCTGTATCTGATCTGAATTTAATTTTAGGTGTAGTATTTCTATTTTGTCATCTAGTTTGGGTGTTTACCGAGATGTGCATAAGTTAGGGCCAAACCTGTGAGGCTAAGGTTAGACAAATTGTAGATTTATCTTTCTCCCCTCCAACCATACCTTTACCGGGGACCAGTTTGTGTGTGTTGTGTAATAGAAAGGATGTAAGACAGATGGTCCATGTTCATTATGTCTGCTATTTTTTGGATCCATTCTGTTTCTGAAGGCAATTCCTTTTTTCTCCAGACTTTGGCCAGAAGTATGCGAGCCGCCGTGACCAGATATATGAATAGCTTATCAGACTCTTTGTCCCATATTTTTTCTGTTAAGCCCAGTAGAAAAATCTCCGGTTTTAGGGGAATATTTTTTCCTAATATTTTTTGACAGTTTTCTTGGATTGTTTTCCAAAATGCTTTTACCTTCACGCAGGTCCACCACATGTGTTTATATGTCCCCTCCTCTACCCCGCATTTCCAACATTTGTTACACATGTTCTTTGAGAATTTGGCAAGCTTGGAGGGCGTTAGGTACCACTGGTGTACCATTTTTATCCAGTGTTCTTGTATATCATAGGCGTATGAATAGTTTGTTTTTATAGTCCAGATACTGTTCCATTCCTCTAGCGATATGGATCTTCCAATCAATCTTGCCCACCTAATCATGTATTCCTTTATTCGTTCCTCCTCCGTGGACCATTCGAGCAGTAGCTTATATGCTTTTGTGATAAATTTTCTTGGTTTTTCTAGTAATCTATCCCAGGCCGTTATGCTTTCCATGAAGCCTTTTTGTCTATCCTTTATGTAGTACTCTTTCAGTTGCCAATATTGGAGCCAGGTGATGTTGTCGTATTTCTTCTTTAGATCTTCTAGTGACTTCATTATTACTTCCTTGCCTGTCCTTGTTAATAGATCCTTATACGTAGGCCATGTTCTCCAGCCCAGTTCTCTCCTTTGGTGAGCTTCCAGGGTGGAGAGCCATAGTGGCGTTTTCGGGTACATTCTCCCTGTGTGTTGGTCCCAAACTTTCAGGAGGGCCGCTCGGATGAAATGGTTTCTGAATTTTTTTTCCACTTTTGCTTTGTTATTCCATATATAGGCGTGCCACCCGGATCTTAGATTGTGGCCTTCTAGTATTAGCAATTTTTTGTTATGTAACAAGATCCAATCCAAGATCCATTCTATACAGCTAGCCTCAAAATACAACCTGAGGTTTGGTAAACCCAAGCCTCCTCTTCTTCTTTCGTCAGTTAAGTTGGTAAAGTTGATTCTTGGTTTTTTGTTATTCCATATGAATCTAGCAATATCTCTGTTCCAATCTACAAATAATTGCTTCTTTCTTATTATCGGGAGGTTTTTGGGGAGTATATTAGATTTTACTACTGCTATTCTACCCATTAGTGAGAGTTTTATATGTTGCCAGTCTTTTAGGTCTGTTTTAATCTGTCTCCATTTTACCTCG